GGCCACAGCGACACTCTGAGATTCAATGTCCGGTCATACAGGATAAGATTGAAATGTCTAGTCCTCGATTATACAAGGAAAATGTCATGTCCGAGGGAATTACACCGCTCACCCCCGTCGCCGCCCGTTACTTATTTAGATCAATGTGTATTTGTATGTTATTTCGACTAGTTAGGTTATTTTAAGTATTGTTTATATGTAATTGTTTTGTATTGTTGAATTTTGCTATTTTTGTGGCCATTATGCCAAAGTGGTATTTTTGATATGCAGCAAGTGACTTGCTGTATACCAAAAATGTGTAATGTGTTTGTGATAAAATATCAAAATATAATTATATAATTTAATATAAATAATGCAATTAAAAGTAAGATCAGAATTAAATATCGTATATAATTATCTATTATAATTTTATTTTAAAATGTAAAAGTAAAAATTTAATTATGACTTACCTGAGATCATGTTAATAATGTTAATTAAAGTTTTTAATATTTACTGTTCTGTTTTATATTTAATTCGCATGTAATTGATGAGTCGATGCTCAATTATTTTGTAAAATTGCCATTTGATTAAATAGTCGATTAACTGGTATTATATGCAGAAAACGAATAGCCAGAAAACCCCTAACAGCACCCGAAAAGATAACTATTAATAAGTACAGTCGACCCTCCTATAACACTGTTGATAATTCCATTTTATATGAATTCCATGTTGTACGAGTCACTTAGATTTTACAAATATGTGTGCCGAGCTGTGAACGGCTCACATATTTGTAAAATATAAGTGACTCGTACAACATGGAATTCATATAAAACGGAATTATCAACAGTGTTATAGGAGGGTCGACTGTATATGGAGATAATGTTCTACTGAATGGTCTTAGAAACATTACAATTGGTCGTAAATATATTTATTTAGACCTTTTAAAACTTGCTTTTCGAGATGGTTAATAATTGAAAAAGTTAGGAATAATATTTAAAAATTGTCTATAAAATTGATGTATGCAAAAAATACTTATGAAGAATTATATGAAGCTATTTTTCTTCCTATTGTCGACTCGCTTTTGTATTTAGCTGTGTTTTGTTTTTAATGACAAGCGTAGAACAACCTTTATTTTCGTATATGAATTTTGCTATTTGTGCTTCTACTAATTGTAATAAAAAAAGTATCAAATGTTATAAAAGCTTTAAACATTCGAATACGGGTGCCATTATGCTATATATAGTGTGCCGTTTGCGTTTATGTGGCAGTTGTAATAAAAATAAATTGTTGAATGCGTATTTAAAATAGCATTAAAGTAACTTTGCAATTAAAATTTTCATTATAATTAAATTAATTGTAATTATAAAAGTTGTGTTATTTTGTATTAATGTATCATTAAAGTTCTTACGAATAGAAATCTTACGTATTGTATAACATTGTATAAAATTATTAATAAACAAATTTAAATTTGCAATATTAATGTTATAAATAAAACAATAAAAATATAAAAAAAAATAATTTTGTTAAACAGTCGCGTGTTATCCTATGGGCAAAAAATGCATTTGCCTGGGTGAATTAGGAATTAGGCATCCCTAATTCAAATTCAAACGGGATTCGTGAAGCTATAACATGCCACTGTCATTAACTTATTTCAATTTTTTTTTTTTTACTTTGTTTTATGATTCGAGTTATGAAAAGTAATAAGATTTACATATTAAGATTTTTGGACTGCAATTTGNGGCCACAGCGACACTCTGAGATTCAATGTCCGGTCATACAGGATAAGATTGAAATGTCTAGTCCTCGATTATACAAGGAAAATGTCATGTCCGAGGGAATTACACCGCTCACCCCCGTCGCCGCCCGTTACTTATTTAGATCAATGTGTATTTGTATGTTATTTCGACTAGTTAGGTTATTTTAAGTATTGTTTATATGTAATTGTTTTGTATTGTTGAATTTTGCTATTTTTGTGGCCATTATGCCAAAGTGGTATTTTTGATATGCAGCAAGTGACTTGCTGTATACCAAAAATGTGTAATGTGTTTGTGATAAAATATCAAAATATAATTATATAATTTAATATAAATAATGCAATTAAAAGTAAGATCAGAATTAAATATCGTATATAATTATCTATTATAATTTTATTTTAAAATGTAAAAGTAAAAATTTAATTATGACTTACCTGAGATCATGTTAATAATGTTAATTAAAGTTTTTAATATTTACTGTTCTGTTTTATATTTAATTCGCATGTAATTGATGAGTCGATGCTCAATTATTTTGTAAAATTGCCATTTGATTAAATAGTCGATTAACTGGTATTATATGCAGAAAACGAATAGCCAGAAAACCCCTAACAGCACCCGAAAAGATAACTATTAATAAGTACAGTCGACCCTCCTATAACACTGTTGATAATTCCATTTTATATGAATTCCATGTTGTACGAGTCACTTAGATTTTACAAATATGTGTGCCGAGCTGTGAACGGCTCACATATTTGTAAAATATAAGTGACTCGTACAACATGGAATTCATATAAAACGGAATTATCAACAGTGTTATAGGAGGGTCGACTGTATATGGAGATAATGTTCTACTGAATGGTCTTAGAAACATTACAATTGGTCGTAAATATATTTATTTAGACCTTTTAAAACTTGCTTTTCGAGATGGTTAATAATTGAAAAAGTTAGGAATAATATTTAAAAATTGTCTATAAAATTGATGTATGCAAAAAATACTTATGAAGAATTATATGAAGCTATTTTTCTTCCTATTGTCGACTCGCTTTTGTATTTAGCTGTGTTTTGTTTTTAATGACAAGCGTAGAACAACCTTTATTTTCGTATATGAATTTTGCTATTTGTGCTTCTACTAATTGTAATAAAAAAAGTATCAAATGTTATAAAAGCTTTAAACATTCGAATACGGGTGCCATTATGCTATATATAGTGTGCCGTTTGCGTTTATGTGGCAGTTGTAATAAAAATAAATTGTTGAATGCGTATTTAAAATAGCATTAAAGTAACTTTGCAATTAAAATTTTCATTATAATTAAATTAATTGTAATTATAAAAGTTGTGTTATTTTGTATTAATGTATCATTAAAGTTCTTACGAATAGAAATCTTACGTATTGTATAACAATACATAAGACTTCTGTATTGTATAACATTGTATAAAATTATTAATAAACAAATTTAAATTTGCAATATTAATGTTATAAATAAAACAATAAAAATATAAAAAAAAATAATTTTGTTAAACAGTCGCGTGTTATCCTATGGGCAAAAAATGCATTTGCCTGGGTGAATTAGGAATTAGGCATCCCTAATTCAAATTCAAACGGGATTCGTGAAGCTATAACATGCCACTGTCATTAACTTATTTCAATTTTTTTTTTTTTACTTTGTTTTATGATTCGAGTTATGAAAAGTAATAAGATTTACATATTAAGATTTTTGGACTGCAATTTGTAGACCTATAAATTCGATCTGTGTTTCCTTAATTTCGAAAAAGGAAACCTTAGTGGGAGAAGGCCCCAATTAACTATATAAGAACTATTTCAATTAAAATCTTTCCCTGGAAGGTGTTAAGAGATATGACTGGCACAACTGTATTGTTAAAGGAAAAGTGTGATGTACTGGGAGCAAGTCATTACTAATTTGAGGCGGAGAAGATACATTTTAAATTAAAAATATGATTAGAAATTGCAGTCCAACATTGTGACAATGTCACAATAAATAATTGCTTGATTTTAAAGAAAACCATTTGGTAAATAACATAGTATTATAAACTCACATTAGCATGGCTATCTGTGAAATCGTCTTTAATTATTGACGTTAACCAATGCTCAATTTTGTCCTCAGAGAAAGTTATACACCATATCAATTGTTAAATTTCACTATATACTTCCATTTTAAAATTGCAGTTTCTTTTTTTCTAATAATTTTCATGAATTTTATCCATCATAATCCTGGAAATAATGTTATGTTAATAAATATTTTTGCTGGTAGTGTGTTAAAAATTATATTTTGTTCAAACAGTAATAATAATTCTGATAGTTAATGGAAGGGACATCACCATTAACTAATATTACTTAGTATAATCTACATACTTTGAACTAGAAAAAAGGTTAATAGTAGTTATTAACTTTGTTTTCCTACACCATTGTTAGAGAACCTGTGACATTTTGTGGTTTCTAATGCTACCAGACAAAATATAGTGTGATAAAATTCATGACATGTGCACATGCTGCGGCAGTCTTGTCAACAGCTTGTTTATCTTTCTCTAAACAGTTATGGATGTTGCAAAAAATAATCAATATTCAGCCTTACAGTATGGATTATTTCAAGATCAGCTGTAGAACAGCAGTGTAGAAAGCACTCAACTTGCACATTTTCCAGATAGGACTCCAACCAAGCAGTTGTCATCTAACAGCTGGACTCTTTACTTTTGTTTCATCTTTTAATATAGTTTCTAGTTCAACTATTTATTAAAAATGCTCTGCATCATCCAATCTTGGCTGTTTGCAGTGTGTAGAGCACACATTGTTCACATAATACAATATGTTCTTGATGTTTTTGCAATGATTAAGGCTCTCATATTCTCCATATCTATGTCATGTACAGTGGATATCAGTACTTGATCCTTCTTTGGATAAAGGGGAAAAAAGGATGCAGTGTAGTTTAATGTGGGATCATTTCTTACCTGAGGTACTGCAATAAAACATGGCTGTTAATTGCTATTTAGCACTTTTTGCTTCCTATGCAGCAATTTCCTTCTTGTAACTTCCTAGTATCATCTCCGTACACATCTTATTTCGTGGTGGCTTTCCTGGCCTATGGTCTAAAAAATCCTGTCACTGGAGTCATCCACTCATTTAAGGATTTTCACTGGGTACTTCCGGAATATTCTAACATGGGTAACAAATAATCCAGTCCACCCACCACACCAGCCTTAATAGGCATCTTCTAGACAAGCCCCTTTTGTCCAGTCATCTATGGAACTTCATAATCATTTTCGTCCAACCCATCCCAGTGTTTTAATATGTTGGGAATGCTCGACATAGTAAAAAANTACGATTAGAAGTATTTTTATAAAATATCTGTATGTACTGTACGAGAAATCATTATACATAATATATTATAAAAATTTACATTTTTCTTCTCAGAAGCGATTTCTGTAAGAACTCCGAGAGAGGAACCTTTACCACCAGTTAATTCGGATACTTGACAATGTAACGATGTAAGTGGAACCACCAAAAGATTTTCTGTTTTATTAATTGCTGAAAAATAAAATAAAAAACAAATTTAACTTTATATTCAATATAGCCTATAATAGACGTTTGTTAATCCGGCTTTAGCGCCGGACCGCCAAGAAAAGACCTCCCTAGGTAGATCGCCCAAGTGTTGCGTTGCCATAATTTAATAGTGGTTTTACTCCCTTGGGGAGTGGTTTTACTCCCTTGTTTAAAATCGTTTAAGAAGCCATTTATGAAATAGATCGCAATTACGTATGTTTTCTGAATTATACATTTTTAAAATATTTCGTCTTTCTATGTATTTATTGTGTATACGTAGATATAAGAAAATTATGTGCTGGGCAGTGAACGCACTACAAGTATTTTTTAACTTTAACACAAAATTCCTAAATTGGTATTATATTCTATCACTTATTTAACAATTGCATACCGTGGAGCTGCATAAAATTTGCGAGGTTCAGGATTCAAGCCCTATTATCTCGTACACAGATTCGAAAGTGAGCCTCATAATGAGAAACAAAGATATAACCTAAATTCTTCTATGGAGGAATAACTGACATATTGATTTAAAAAACATAAAAACATTTTAATAGGAGAAAGCAACGCAACACGACAGCGATGTGTCAAGAGGTGCCTCCTGGACAGTAGCGTAGTGTAGTGGGGGCGGCAAAATTTCACAATAAATAATAATAATATCTTGTAAGAATTTAAACCATTTTATTTCATATTTTCGTCCACCTACGACTCGGACCGATTGAAACGAACAAGGAATAGTGTTACCATCCATCCGGATAGTCCGGGAATCGACTCGCCGTCCGGGGATATCGTGCGCAACCTGTTGACCCTTTTTCTTTTTTGTTTTTGCTTGTACGATTTATTCGTATATATATACACCTCCAATATCCAATAGAGCTAGGTCACTGCCGCTACTCCTATCCGAGTCTCCCTAGTCGCTAACTGTAACTGATTTAGAACCGGCATGCGCAGCACATTATTCTTCGCATTGCAAAATGACATACGCGTGCGTCAGGAACTTCTACTCGAACAAACCTCACCCGCCGTCCGGGTCGGCGATTTTAATAAGGTGGCGACGCTAGCACGGAATTTTTCGTTACTTATTCTGTGACGAAACTGAATTTTAGTCTTTTAAATCGAGATACTTAAATAAGGGGGGGGGAATTTTCCTCCGCCCCGTGCGGCTGACACCCACGCTACGCTACTGCTCCTGGAAGGAATTAAATGTTAAAAACAAAAGAAACTTCAGGAAAACTCCATGTGGCCAGCCCTTTCGTAAAACCCGAACCCAGATTCAACCACAAGTATCCAGTGGTCACTGGTGATTCAACAGTTAAACAATTTGCAAATACTTTATTATTTTCAAAGCATTTGTGAGGGTCGTAGGCCCGATTTTGCGCCAATTTAAAAAAATTTTTAAGCCTATTTCTCTGTCACGATCGTTAAGAAGACATGGCGCAGAAAACAGATTGAATATCACTTTTACTATCAACAACTGAGAAAGAATTATAACAATCGAGTGTTAAATGAAACAACCTATTGTTAAAAGAGGAGAAAGTCAACCAAATAGAAAAAACTGTACAAGTTTGCAGCGAGGACTCTACAAGTACTGTATTGTCAGTTCCGTGGGAACGACGGTTTTACGTCATCAACGGCTCACCTCTGACCCGACACCTGTAAAATCAACCTTCGTCTCCAACAACACGCAATCACCCGAAAGGTTTTTCCGAACTGAAACGTATAAAAGAGGCAAGAACTTAAGTCTCGGGATAGACATTTTCTAGAGCATACAAGAGCTCTCTCTACCCACCAATTACCTGTCGGCTCATACTCTCGTAGTTTCGACAGGCACAGCTTCGACACACACCAGAGGTAAAGCTCTTAAAGAATTGTAAACTGTCTCTCTGTCTGGAGTTACATAAGTAAAATTAATATCGGTAGCATGGCACACGAGCACATTAATCGTTTGTAGCCTTAATTGTGTACGCTGTACTTCTTTGTACACTTAGATTTAGATAGTTATATTAAAATTTTGTTATATTCGTTAAACCGGACTACCTGTCTTTCTCGAGAACGCACCCTATCGACTTACTCACCGATCGAATTAACATTTATTTACAAATCGCGACGTTTAATATGGAAAATTTCAACACACAACGCTGAATGAGAAAGAATAATAATGCTGAATTCTCCAAGAAAATTTATTTTCTAAGATGCAAAACGGAACCTGAATAAACGGGAAGAATTCTTAAAACGCAGCGATTTTCTATGTTAACAAACCCGTTAAAACACAGAGAAATGTTTTCATAATTGAGAGAGCAGCAAACGTTGCAGATAAGATATCTACAAAATTACTCGCCGTCGAGAGATAGTGCGCGTATTATATAACCAATAAAGCTAATGCAACAAGCCAAATCCATTGTAAATTCCTTTATGGGACGAATTATTAGTAGAGACAAGATACAAAAATATTTAGACAAAAACTAAGTAAAAATTGAAGTATTTAAGGAAATGGGGCATTTAAAATTGACGAGTTTTCAATAGTTCATTATCTATCTTATCAGTTAGGTCTATCGCTTTTAGATAAAAAGTACTATGACGAGAATAATGACATTGCGAAAGTAGTATTAGAGATATGACTTGTTTAGTACCGGTGGAAGCTTTGTATTTTGGAAATATTTTACTTTCAGTTCATTTCTTTATAAGTATTTTGTCATATAATAATTTTATGAATTTATTAGAAATACCGAGATAGAAACTCATTTCCTGCCTGCTTTATTACGGTTGATAAATGCCCGAATTTTCGACTTCAACTGATTTAAAACCATTACTTAGTGGATTAAGTGTATCTACTTTTAATTTATCGTAACAATTTCCGACTGAATATCCTGCAATTTATTATTAAAGTTTTTATGCACAAGTTTCACGATGAGTACTTGTATATTCTTTACAAATTACCGTCATATTGCGGCGTATTTACATTTAACTTTTTCGTGCAATTTGACTTCCGTTAACGTTATAGATTAGTGGTGGCCAAACTTTTGTATATTCCACATATACAAAAAGTTGACCTAATTTTATCACTTGTAAGGAATCGTTCGAGTATTACATAAAGAAAAATTTGTAACTTTTTCGTGTCCCTTTCATCATCACTAGAAAGAGGTCTCTAGATTTATAATCATAAATCGAGATACCTCTCTCCTCGTAATTACGTTAAGCCCGAAGTTTAAGCCAGAGTTGGTAAATGCCTTAATTTTGAATATTGGCCTTTTACATTTATTAAATTTCAAATAAAAGTTAACTTACATTTTTGCAGGGAATAAGATTTGTTTTTATTTTTCATGATTTTTCTGTAAATATGCATTCATTAGTATTCAAATGTTTATATATTATACAGTACTAATTGAAATATTTTTTAAAGCTCACCCTTTTAAAACAATTCCGTGACCCTTCCTTCCATTTTTGGACATTGTTACGTGTTTTAATTCGATCCCATTGGGCCATTTCGATCTCATAAAAAACGTCGAGTATACTTCGGAAGTAAATTTTAATTTATATATTTCATCCTCTGAAATAAAGAAAAATATAATAAATTATCATTTCTTATGTTAAAAATATTATAACAATTTAAAGATTTGTTCACCAGCGACCGAGTGGATACCAGACATGGCCAACATATGGCCCGCGATTAATCTTTCAATACAGTATTAATATAATAAATAAAAGTACGACTTTTTCACAAAAAATTTTTGTTTCAGTCATTTCTTTCGTTGTTCGCACCATCAGCGGTTCATAAAAGTCCCAAATACTCACGGAGACGACCTTCCTTTTTAGGCTACTGCCTCCGTAGTTAAAATGCAAAAATGATAAAAACGTCATCTGGTGTTCTTGCCACAATCACATAATACATTTTAAGTAAAAATAAGTTTTACATAGCCAACGATTATCTAATAATGATGGTGCAAACAACGAAAGAAATGACTGAAACAAATTTTTTTTGTGAAAAGGTCGTACTTATATTTATTATATTAATATTAGATAATCGTTGGCCATGTAAAACTTATTTTTACTTATAATCTTTCAATATTAGCTACTCGAGTCCGAATAGCTCGATGAAAAATTCAGATTGCCTAAAAACAACTCTCTGCGCGTTTAGAGTTAACCCTCCATTACAGATCTCGTAAGTACAGCGTAGAATGTTGATAAAGCGTGATAATGTGAAAAATGTATCTGTAATCTATACGTACAATTTAGTCTCTACTCGGTGACACCGCAATAAGATCTCGCACCACCTCAAAATCTTCCTAGGGCAGCCTCTGGTTCGGCCCGTGGAAAAAGTGTTCTTTCCAATTCGGCCCGGGGGCAAAAACTGTTGGCCACCGCTGGTATAGGTGTTAGTACGCAGCTCTAGAGATCCAGTTCGAGTAAGAATTGAATAATCAGAAGTTTTGAAAATATCTCAGATGAGATGAAATACAAGGCTTACGCATAGTCACTCCTATCTCTCGGCTTAGCCGCGTGTGATGGACTGATATAAGGCTTATTTAGTGTTCACATAGAAAAATTATCTATGTCTACTGTAATTAGTGTACTGTACAGTACATATTATTTCAACAGATACAGTAATTTAGATACTATCAGTAAAACTGTTAAGCGTTTTGATGGATTTTAGATTATAAATAAAAGTCATAAGGATATATATAAGGAAAACATTGATAAATTAATGATAAAATTAATTATTCTTTAATTACTGAATAGGGAAAAGTGGTGAAAGATGGGGCCACGGGGTAAGATGAGAACGTCTTTTTTTTATTCTTACTCTTTCCACCCTGTGGGCACTAACAGGGCCTCTTATACCAGTCCCATTATGGGTTCGGTCAGCCCACAATGGGGCGACCGGGTGGTGAGGGACGGGGCCGAAAAATTCCCGGGGATTCCATTCCTTGATTCGTCCGGATTCGATCCTGGTTCCCCCAAAGCGGTACGCTGCCACCTTGACTGCTCGGCCACCCGGCCACCCGGGGCCACCCGGCCACGGGGACGTCTGTTTATTGGTAGTTAACGCGCTTTCATCTAGCTGTTATTTGGGGAACTAAATGTCAACCTCAAAAGAGATCACGGGACGAGAAAACGTCCGAATCGCTCTCTTTGTTTGGAAGTAAGAACATTTTCCCTATTTTAGTAATACTTTATCTAATGTTACGGTGCTACAGTCTTTACAGAGTAAGTATAATTGTGAACTTTACATTACCTTTTACATGAAGATATTATGATATTCAAAGTAACCTTTAAGACTGTAATTGTTTCGTTTTGAAATATAGTTGACCCGTGATAATATCCCCATCATACCCCACCGGTGAGGCAAGACCGGTGAGGCACTTACACGTAATTTTAAAATATTAAATTTTATTGTTTATAAAAACGATTTCCAAAAATTAAATTTTGTATTATATACAGTAGAGCGTCGTTTATCCAAATCAATTGAGGACTGAGATTGTTCGGATAACTTATTTTTCGGATAACCGATTATGTACAGTACGAAAAAATATATCAACCTATCCTGTGTTGAAATTTTTTTCCGTTGCGTGTCGCTTCGCGTTGAATTTTCGTCGTAAACGTTTTAAAATAATAATCGTGGCTATTGTATCGTTAAAAATTGTTTCTTTATTTTTTACAAACAAAATAAATTTATAAAAACAAAGAAATTATACTTTAGAAGCTGATTTAGTATCAAAAACGTTCGATTCGGCAGGACACACAATCCTCGGAAAAACGCCATGCAAAAGTGCCAGTGCTGCCAGCTAAAAAACACACACCACCAACAAAAAAATATTGGAATAGCCCGAGATATAGCCAAAGATTGCAGCGCCACAGCACTAGCGAAAATTTAAATTTGCCGACTGGAATGCTTTCGGATAAACGACGCTCTACTGTATTATCAAATGTATTTGCTGAGAATAAAAAAATCATCGTTCTCATCAAAGTGGTTGTCATCTTATGGCTTTTCAAACCTTAACGTTTTCGTCTTGCCCCACCTTTCCCTATTTATTTCGTAAATGCACGTGTTAACTACACTATTGAAGGGATCAAACTCTCCAGATACCAGCATGGATTTTTATCATTACAAATATATTTATATCTTAGTTTTCTAGGAGTATATTTTTTACGTTGCGTACACAAAGTATTCGAACGGACGCATCGGTGAAAGAGGAACTTTTACGATTATATTTATATGTTAGTTTTCTCGAAGTATATTTTTTACGTTGCGTACAGTTAATTATTTCCTGATATCATAGGTAATTTCGTGAGAGGGTCTTTGTCTTTAAGCTTATATATTTGGCTGCAATTTGAAAAAACTGTAGACCTATAAATGTCCACTGTCATTTGTCTGTATGTCAGTCAGTCTATCTGTCTGTCCTTCCTTAATCTCGAGAACCGAATTGGATAGATGAAAGGAGAGACCATAGGTGGAAAACTTAGGCGGAGGAAGCCAAGATTAACTATAAAATCTCATCCAATGAAAACTGAAAGTCACGTTATTTTAATTGGAAACTTTTCCCCCGAAACGATAGACGACTCAATTGCTAACAGGAAAAGTGGGATGTACAGAAAAAGTATAATGTTATCTGTAAGTTATACATATTACATTACTTCTCTAATCGATGATAATTATTAAATAGTCTTTGTTTGATATGTCTAGAATTTGACAGCGAAAGCTAAGAATTTTTTCCGAATAGCTAAGGAAATTTAAACGCATATCACAATAATAATCGCGTGTTTAGATATATTCCCAGTTCTTAGTTTATTAAAATATGAAAGAATAATTCACTTACCATCAATATTTTGTTTGTAAATTTAAGAAAAAAATGTCCAAGTTTCTTCTTACAATACAGTTTTGTTAAATGACAGTTTACACAAAGGACGAAAATTTTAAAATTTAATATCTGCGAGCAAAATTCAAACCTCATCTTGCATTACTTATTTGATGAAGAAGAATTTAAAAAGTATCACGAAATTACCAATTTTTACACTGTTAGTACATAAAGCTACACGCAATAAATAAAAATGAAATAAAAGACGAAACAAATTAAAATTCTATTATTCTCACAACTTACCCAAGGAAAATTCTAAGACTTTATTCTCGATTTCACTAGTATTTTCGCTATCGGATAGAATTTTACATTTGATCGAGTGCAAGCGGCCGTTAGAATTCATTATATGACCGTGATGAAGCCTGAAGTGAAAGGCTTTTCCTTATTTATTTTATAAAACGGAGAGAAACGATTACGTTAAATATGAAATTACCTTTTTATAACATTATCGATACTCTCAATAGCAATATGTAGTAAAATCCCGTGCTACAAAGAAATAGAAAAATATATTTATTTTGATTATGTACAGTGCAATGAAACGAATACGCGGATGATTTTTACACAGTTATATCATAAATCTACTTAATAAAATACGTAATTATTTTTTTATCTTTGAAATACAGAGTGTGAAACTAATGGAAAAGTTCCACGTACTGTACCTTTCTAAATACTTACCTGCAAAAATGCGAAAACATGGCAAAATTCTTGTTCCGAGGAGACCTTTCCTTGATTAAAAAACAAGAATAGATCTTAATTATGAAACGAATTAAATATTTTCATAATTAATACTTTAATTAGGCAATATAATGAATATATTTGTAATGACTATTGAGTTTTCGCGCTGACAATGAATTTAACAGTAAATGTATAATAAGGTTAGTAAATGTTCTCTTTTGGAGATACTCCTGAAAAAAGCGACGTCCTACCATTCTCGATCACTTAGAAAACGAAAACAATATAAAAGAAGAGAACATTCGATAACGACACCTCCCAATAACGGCCCCCTCTAAACGGCAGTCATTTTGTCAGGAACGTTTTTTTCGAGATGTATACGAAATAACTTCCGAACAAAGGCTATTGTTTATGAACCCGTCAGTGGTTGTTCAGAGGTTTGACTGTACTACTATACCCGGATTTTACCTGTCCCAACATAATAAATTTCGAAAGTGGTTTGGCAAATATACATATATCGAAGTGGAAATAGAGTATTTGAAAATATCCTCTATTCATCGAGCGGTCAACAATTGTCCACTTCTGGTTGCATGTGTGACATTTCTTTTCCTCGTATACAGACTGTGTCTTTTATCGCGTCGTACTGTACATTAATTTTATTTTTAGTTGACCTTGACACGCTCGTATAGAATAAACCACCGGAATTATCGAATCATTAGCGCTTCGTATCGAAGATCAACAGTACAAGAAAATACACCACCGCGAAATACCGCTTAAATTAGTCAAAATAATACGTAGCAATACTGTATATGGAAAGAAACAAAAAGTAGTACAGTAGAGCCTCGATTATCCGACTCCCGATTAACCGCCACCTCGGTTAACCGACCGTTCTAGTCGGCAAATTTCAAATGTTCGCCAGTAATGTGGCGCTACAATATTTGGCTATGTCTCGGTTACTTTAATATTATTTTTACGTGTTTTAGCTGGCACCATTCGACCATGAAAGGGAGCCAGTATTTAAACGAGGCTTAATTTTCTAATTTTTAACGATACAATAGCGACGATTATTATTTTAAAAAATTTTTGTTAGACTTAACATCGATGAAAATTCAACGCAAAGTAGGTTAATAGCGATATACTAATATACTAATTACATGGGATATAATAATATACTACACTAATAATGGATTTTTTCATACTTTTCGGTTATCCGACTTTTCAATTATCCGACCAACCCCAGTCACCAATTGGGTCGGATAATCGAGGCTCTACTGTAAATTCTGTAGAAAAGCAAATAGCATTTTTCTTTAAAATTATAACTTCTTTCCTTATTAAATTTTGAATAAAGAGAAGCTGAACATTGTGGCAATGTTACGAAGAACCAAATCACCTTCAACAATTGTAAGCCGATTAGCGTACAAAATGAATGATGTAGGGCAATATTTTTTATATTGCTTCCACTTTCTATTGAAATCCAAACGACAAAGCAGATGCAATTGATCAGATTAATGATATGACAAGCCATAATAATAACGTACTTAAACATTGGTGAAACCCTCTCTGTAACTTTCATTCTGTGTTTACATTTATCACTTATAGATGTATTTAGATAATGAACACGTTATAGTATTTATAAAGATTCACGTGAATTTTATATTTATTTTCCTGATCTGTCTACATTTCTGCGTAGGGACTACCAATGGGAGAGTGGATAAAACATCATCATTTTTCACTTATCGTGTTGACCAAAGCAGTAGAATAACTGGAAGTATCCATGGTCTCGAATTCTCTGTAGACTACAGTCTACAGTAGGCCATAAGCTGGCTGACAAAACTCAAATTCGTACTAAGTAACCTAGTGTTTGTAGACTCTGAAGTAGACATCGCGCCAACTAGTAGACTCTCGTTAATTCGAACTCAGAAGGATGGTTTAAACAGCTCGAATAAAAAGGATACCCTTTCTGAATGCCACGCAACAACAACAGCAATTAATTTATTTTTACATTAACTTTTTATAAATTAATTTATTAATTTTAAATTGTATTATTAAATTTCAAAAATAGAAAAAAAATAATAACCTAGTAACACGCTTTCTTGACTCGAATAAACAGGTGGTTGCGCAATCCGAATTACCGAGAGAATTTTACATTAATTTAAAAAGATATCAAAGCGAATAGTGTACAGTTCGAATTACACGAGTTCGGATTAGTGAGAGTCTACTGTTTATGGAGTTTCGAAAAGATTTTTTTGCGTTTAATTTTCGTATTTAAGCATAGAAGAACCTCAAAGAATCTGCCGTAGCTCTCTTCAGGGCCCTTAGTCTCGAGTTTTTCGTGTTGTACTCGAACTGACGTCATCGAACTCACTCGTGTTACTATGACTCACATAATNATAGATGTAATATTTCGAGTATTTTAATTGCATTTTTTAAAGGAAAGTTTATTTTTAACAAATTCTTTTCTCTCGGATTTGGCAGAATATTTGTTAAATGCAAAACTTCGCTAAAAAGAAAATTTATTCAGATTTCATTACAAGTGGTTGGGGTTTGATTGGAAACAATTGCTTCCACCATTGTAAGATCGGGAATTTACAACATATTTCATACAACTGAAAGTTTTAATTTATATTGCCAGAATATTTTCTTAACTGTGAAAGAATTGGTAGCTGCACTTTCTTCTTGCGGATTGATTGTGTAATTTACATAATAAACAACAACCCAGCATATTCCTATTACCAAATGATCTGTCAGATTATCTATTGGGCTATGTTGAGCCTAATAACTAATTAGATAACAAATCAGTTTGGCTAGAGATAGGTGGTTTAGCTGCTCTCCTAATAAATTTAATAATTAGAATTAAATTAATGTTAAATTTAGAATATTCTGAAAGAACATTGTCCATTGTCTATCCCAAAGGATATTGTCCAAAGGAAATAATTGTCCAGAATGGGACTCAAATCTACAACTCCTGATTAGTTTAGAGATGCATTGTAGGTTACACTACCCAGATTCTATATGATTTTTATTTCCAAAACGGTTAGTGGATTTAGATATAAGTACAGTTGGTCACTTAAAGTTGTGTTGTTGTTGTTGTTGTTTTATTAAAGAATCAACAAAAAAGAAAAATATTCCTAGAAAAACACTATTCTAATCTGTTTAATAGTGAAATCTGATGGTCGGAGGTAATATCCTGGAAATGTTTAACAGATGATTTTTATTTATGAATTAAACACCTTGATAATATGTTTTTTTGCATGAGTGCTTTTCATTGGATATATTGTTGTGTATATTATAATATTGGATATTTAAAAATAGTTGTAAAATCCTGGAATGGAAATAGTCAAATCAAATAATTAAGTGATATACAGTACATTAATTGATGACTATTCAATAAACACTTCAGTTTAATTAAGGCATAAAAATGAAGTAAGAATATAGTTTGTATATATATTTTTGACCAGAATAGGTCTACATGTAATAAAGTCAGATACAGAGTATATTGTTTGGGTTATTATAGTTTTATCTCTTATCCCATTGTTAGCATATGAGCCTCGAACATTACCAGCAGAGTACGTTTGAGCTAAATTCTGGATAAGGTTTCTATAGTAACCTGCTTTATAGCAATATATTCAAATTGTTATAGTCATTTGCCATTTCAGTAAAATCTGTACAATGGGTAAAGGGTCTTTTTGTCAGGGCTCTAAAAGCAGCTATTTTGTATACATCAGGGGTTATTGGAGCTTGCAGATATAAATAATGGTGGGTGTGATGGTTTGTAATATAAATTTGGGTGAATATTTTCATTTCTATTGTTGATTTTAAGATCCAAAAAAATGTACCATTTAGTTGCTGGCATGGTCTAATTTAATACAGTCCATAAGGATTGTCATTCATTTGTTGTATGAAGCCATTTATATCTGGTTTTGTTTTCCATATAATAAAGATATCTTCCACATATCTTTTGCACATAAGCATACATGGTAGAGTTGATAAAATCATTTTTCCAATAATATTATATCTGACAAAGGACCCCAGACAAGAGGCTATCCACAGGTGCCCCTCTCTTTTGAACATATGTCTTGTAATCATAGTGAAAGAAAGAGGAATAGCATGAAATATGTGCTTAAATCCAGGATAAATTTGCAATTGACTTGCTTATTGCTTTTATGTAATAAATGTCTAAGAGGGCAAAAATTTGTTGTAATTTGTATTAAGTGGCACACAGGTACAGTATAAAGTCTAAGACTGTAATATAAACATCTCCTATAAGTTGACTACCACAAATCATCAATTATTTGCTCTGTTTTACTGATGGATAATCTATAGGTTTTTAAATAATCTTTAAATAGATTATGAATAGCATTTTCTAAAAGGCAAGTACGCAGCATGGCATTACAGTTCATATAGTGTTGCCTGATTTATGGATCTTTGTGAATGCAAAAAGTTTAGGAGTATTAGCAGAATTTGCCATTACACTATCTAATTTTAAGGTTCAAAAAATCTAAATCCAATAAATACAACACCAAAGCTATGTATGTGTGTGTGTGAACCCACACAGACTTTATAATTATAATCATTAACATTATATCAATAATAATACATAAACAGTAATTACAAAAGATAATTAAAAGTAGGTAAATACATTATATCCTTCTCAGAATTTATGCAAAGAATAACTCTATAATAAAAATATTTTGGAATTAACTGATTGTGTGATATGACTTTTTTGTCTTGACTGGTATAGTTTGTATTATTGCATTATTAAAGTCTTTAATAAACTGTTTGAAAATTTACGCTCTTATATGATTGCATTTTGTAATTTTTAGCTGTAAACTGAGTTTAATCAATGTCCCAAATTTAGCTAAAAGAAATATTACTTATTTGCATATTAGCTACTCTCAATCTCAATATACTCTATCTCAATCATTTAGAACTTATTTTTGTTAGAGAGTAACAAAACAAACAAATTCTTGTTTACTCCGACAAAGTGAATGCTTCAATGAATGCCAGTCTTCACAGCAACATCTGTACTGCCTGAATCCCTGATTCT